GCTTCCTTGATTGCCGTTTTCTTGGACACAATAGTAGCGATGGTTGATTGGGGTTTACTATACAACCTGGCCAGCTCGGAGACACGCACTCCACTTTCATACTTAGCAATGATCTCTTTCTTCATCTCCATAATAATTCTCACCCTTATTCCTGTAGGGTTGGCACTAGAAGCTTTCTTGGGGCCTATGGTCACTTATTTTGCAGGTGAAATCACTAAAAACGTTGTAATAATACAAAATGTTCCGGTTGTATGCTTGGATGTTACCGCGGAGGCTGGCTTGTAAACAATGCCACTGGCGGAACAAGTGAGACTGGCTCAGGCCGCACATAGAAGCATCTTGGACGAATCGCGTTGAGCGAGTTTTTTAGCGCTAGGCGAGACAAAATTTTAGTGATAAAATGTATCGCTATGCGGATTTAACGTTATGTGATGCCAACGTTAGGCGGGGGTCCACTGTATTATACTAATGTTAATATACGTATTATTATTATACATATTATTACGTATTATTATTATTACAATATAAATAATTTGTAATTATTTTTCACACAAAAGATATAAGATTTACTGTTATGCCTTATTGCAATAATTGTATAAATAATGTCAACCCATTCACAACTGCATATTGGAATGGACAGTGACGTCATTTGTTTACTCTTCAACATAGCTAAAACAATCGAACATTTCCCCTACGTTGAGCTCAATTTCAAGGTACTTTTCGTCGTGAAAGCAATCAAAATCATATCTATTTCTGTAATATATCTTCCATTCTATCAAATGAGACCAAAAAAATGAGAATACAATCATAAAAACCAAACGAAAATACCGCTAAGGGATGGCTAATTTCTGAGAAGTGAACTCCGTTATTTATGCTTAGATTTCTTAAATTTTTGGTGTACATTAAGAAGCATCTTTCCATCATACATTGCCCAAGTTTCAATAAGATAGCCCAACAAACAAATGAGATGCAATTCTCTAGATCAAGAGCAAGAGCCCTCTCCCCAGCGTCAAGGAACCTTTCTTGAGGTTGGCTTGCTTAACCCTTTGACTGTTGCGGTCGTATAAATACGTCATAGGAGATACCGTGTTTGACGTATCTATACGCATAAATTCTAGCGGCCTCAGATCAAGCAGGAGAAAGCTGGTAGGCCCACGTGTGAGAGAATGGGTCTCCATGGTCAGTGTGCACCATATAAAAAAAATCGGGGAGCCAGTGGTACATTGTGGGAATGCCATTTCAGTTGTCTTTTTTCAGCATGCTTAGCGGTAAGAAATATGTGACTCCCCAGCAAATCTGGGACTCTTCTCTTCCCAAGTGATGCTCTAACACAGATGGAAGTGTCAGTGAAGATCAATTTCATGATTTCGAGGAATTCGAGACCAAAAGCAATGCCCGGAATAGAGGTGGAGGAGGAGGAGGATTGTGGAAAATACTGTATATATTTTCCGGAAATACGGTAATTTATAGGTAAATAGATGCCCTATATTGTATTTTTAAAAGAAGAATGTTATCGTAAATGGGAAACCTGCGGCTGGGGGGGGGGTCAGTCGCCATTTTGTTTCAATTTGGATTAGAAACGTTGGTGTAATGGGAAGAATTTTTCGTGCTCTAGAGGTTAAAATTGGGCTGACAGCTCTCAAATAGGAGACGAAATTGTTGGATGTGCATTCCTGCATAACTTGAGGTATCAGGCGACTGGACAAGACAGCTCCAGGAACCTCAGATAAGTCTTATGTAGTAACCTGGCCAGTGTTATTTTCATAGACAGTGAGGTTTTCTGAGTATGATACACATTAATCTCCAGTCAAATTGGTGAGTGATATTAAGATATATTTTCCTTCTGTTATGTAATTGTGTGTATATATAACTATTTATTATTTTTAATATACAGTCCACAAAATTTATATATTTACCAGTATTCCTGGTTACACATATTTCATTGGTAATTAATAGGTCCAGAGCAACTTGTGGATATGACAGTGGTAGGTATCGAAGGGGGGACATTTTTTGCGACCTAGGTGTCCCAAATTCCTACATGTCTAACAGATAAATAATAATTATCTTTTCATTTACTGTTATGTATATAAGGATACATTCAGATAAATGCAATTTTCCACAAGGATGATGATGATGATGATTGATGATGATGATCATCATCATCATGATCTTGATCATGATGATCATGATCTTGATCATGATGATCATGATCTTGATCATGATCATGATCATGATCATGATGATGTGATCATCATGATCATGATGATCATGATGATGATCATGATCATCATAATCTTTTCATTTACTGTTATGTATATAATGATACATTCAGATAAATGCAATTTTCCACAAGGATGATGATGATTGATGATGATGATGATCATCATGATCTTGATCATGATGATCATGATCTTTATCATGATCATGATCATGAACATGATCATGATGATCATGATCATGATCATGAACATGATCATGATGATGATCATGATCATGATGATCATGATGATGATCATGATCATCATGTTTTCATTTACTGTTATGTATATAATGATACATTCAGATAAATGCAATTTTCCACAAGGATGATGATGATGATGATTGATGATGATGATCATGATGATCATGATAATCATGATCATGATGATCATGATCATGATCATCATGACCATGATCATGATCATGATGATCATGAACATGATCATCATGATCATGATGGTGATGATCATGATCATGATAATCATGATGATCATGATCATGATCATGATCATGATGATCATGATCATAATGATCATGATAATGATCATGATCATGATCATGATCAAGATGATTATGATCATCATGATGATCATGATCATTATCATTATAATCATGATGATCATGATCATCCCTTGAGGCATGAAAACAGTTCACCCCATGACAGTGACAAGATAAGGTGAGATAACATCTGATAAGAGCTGACGTTTGATGAGTGTAAACAAGGGTGGGGGAGGGTGCAGCTGATGAGAAAAGATTAGATGACCATCCCCCTTGCTTTGTTTTTGCTGGTACACATACATTTGTCTGTCTGTCTATTTGTCTGTCAAGCTCCCTGTCTATCCGTCTAGCTCTCTGTCTCAGAGCCACAAGACTGTCATCATCACTGTTTACTCACATCGTCAAGCACAGTATAGCACTTTGTCTGGATTTTTTGGGTTATCCTAGGTAATTTATACTATGTATACATGTATTTATGTGTACCTGTGATACAGAGATAGACAGACATAGAAAGAGAGAGACAGATGGAAAGAGATAGAATGAGGGAGAAAGATAATTAGATAGAATGGAGGGGAAGCAGCATCTGACCCCATTGTTTTGACAGGCGGTAGGGGGAGTGAGTAATGAGATAATATGTCATTTTACAGCTGCCGACTCCTGACTCAAAACAATTATAAGCCACACACTCGCACACAAGACAAGCTTGCTGAATGAAGATAATAGCAGTTATATGAAAGTATCTAGTGACTATATATGTGTATATATATTATAGAAACCAGAGGCAAGAAGGGAAGGCAGGAATGAAGGAAGGACGAGATGAAAGGAAGGAAAAAAGTAATGAAGGACAGATGAAGGAATGTAGGAAGAGAGGTAGGAAAGGAATACAGGAAAGGAATGAAGGAAATTAGGAAGGGAGGAATGATGACACACGACCATTTACCTAGGATAACTACATAACACAACTGCCTGCTAATACTTTGAATAAAACTGCTCAGACGAGGTGTTTTGTCTTTGCATATTAAAAAAAAATTCACAAAAATGCAAACACACTCATTTTATGTGTGAGTGTGTAAAACACCATTGTGCATGAAAACATAATTCAAAGAGTTACACAAGTTGCAGAACTTCTAGGAATATGTCCAGTGACTGTATATTGGTATATATATTATAGAACAATTGTAATAAACAATTTTTTGTATTGTTTGTTTTTGTAAAAAAGTTTTGTAAACAATATATTGATAATAATGTTTGTGTGCTTATTGTGTTGTATACAACGAGTGTATATATGTACATTGCACCTTACTTTGGTCTCACAGGCCACATAAGTTATGTGAAAAAATAAAATAGTGAAAAAACAACAAACCTTCAAATACAAGTAAACCAAAGTTTATCAGGTGAGCGGCAGTTGCTGCTGTTGCCATACGCGGCTCATTTTCTGCAAACTTCATGGCTCTATATCTTGGTAAATACTGATGGGAAATTTTTTTTTTTTTGCACTAAAACTATCAGAAAAATAATCTTAACATTTTCATAAGAAAAATCTTTTTTTTTTTTCGAATATTTTGCGACACCAGGAGACACTTCAAGATTGGGCCTTTCGACAGTCAAAGGGTTAAGGAAATTTTGCTTGGGTATGGAAGCAAAAAATTGACCCATTGACTGCTCGTATTTGGAAAAAACTCGCACGTGGATGTGGTCTCGAGTAGAGGTTCCACTGTATATGTATTTTATCACTCTAGGGCGCTTGAAGCGTCATAGCATGTGTGGGTGGGGTGGCCAGAAGGGCTACCACACTTGATTTCTTACAGTAAATACTACTCACCTTTTGCCCTACATTAAAACTGCAAATATTTTGAGGTAAATAATGAGGGTACTGTGTGTGTATTTTGCTTTTTATTGTTTTTTAATGCTAGTTATATTGCTAACTTAATATATGTTAGTGTAAACTTGTTATCTGGCATTTGTATGCATTTATGAGTGGAAATAAATACGGCATTCTGCTTTCCGGCAATGTCTGTTTTGCAGCAGTAGCCTGAAACCTGACCTGCCCTATATGTGGGGCCCTACTGTATAAGTGTCTTGGGTACAGTATTCTGGTATCTCACCTTTTGTGTTATCATATAAATGTTAACTGAAAAATCTATTGTAATGTGCTCTAAATTTTATAGGAATTCAGCAATTTTTCTTTGTGCATTATATTATAGTTTTGGTTGATCGCTAAATAATAATTGAAATTTTTACAGTTCTCAAGCCTGCACAGTTTTAGCAGCTCTGGATGAATATGAAGCTATCAGTCTTACCTTTTTGGTCCTAGATATTGAGTACTTAACACAACAAGGATACAAATACTGTCAATATATATGCAATGGCCGAAGCAAGGTAAGGGGCAAAGATGTTCAGTCAAGGTTTGGTTGCTGGATGAGTCATAAGGTATGCATTGGCTCTAGTCTTAATACAGGATCACAGACCAGCTGAGATACAAAAGTATTGGCTACATATCTGTGAAGCAGTGAAGGACTGAACTACCAATGAAGATTTTAATGAAAATACCACATAAGGATAAATATTTATTGTAGACAATGTTTTGCATGCAAGGAGATTTATCAAGTCATGAAACACCATAATATTAATTTATTATTTCCCACTGAAACATGAGAAAGGAAGAGGATTAGATATAGGTGTGTTGACAAGGTCAAGTATAAAATTCATTGGGTCCTACTACATCACTGTCACTAGTTTGGCTCTAAACAGTAGTAATTTTTTTTTTGGGGTGGGGAGGGAAGATAGAGATTTTAAATGCCCCCTGGTTCTTTTACATGCTGCCTAAGCTTTATGAAGGCCTAAGCATTTATTCTAGAAACAAAGAGCATAAAGCCAATGAGTGGAGAAAAAAGACACTGCTGCAGTGAGTAACTCTGTTGCAACATTTCACTTGTCGAACAGGCTTCTTCAGTCTATATGAGCTTATATACCATACATTTAAAAAGGGGGATTAGATGGAGGAGGCTTGATAAGATGTGGTATAATTTTTTTTTTTTTTCAACAAGTCGGCCGTCTCCCACCGAGGCAGGGTGACCCAAAAAGAAAGAAAATCCCCAAAAAAGAAAATACTTTCATCATCATTCAACACTTTCACCTCACTCACACACAATCACTGTTTTTGCAGAGGTGCTCAGAACACAACAGTTTAGAAGCATATACCTATAAAGATGCACAACATATCCCTCCAAACTGCTAATATCCCCAACCCCTCCTTTAGAGTGCAGGCATTGTACTTCCCATTTCCAGGACTCAAGTCTGGCTATATAAAAATAACCGGTTTCCCTGAATCTTCACTAAATATTACCCTGCTCACACTCCAACAGATCGTCAGGTCCCAAATACCATTCGTCTCCATTCACTCCTATTGAACACGCTCATACATGCCTGCTGGAAGTCCAAGCCCCTCGCCCACAAAACCTCCCTTACCCCTTCCTTCCAACCTTTTCGAGGACGACCCCTACCCCGCCTTCCTTCTCCTACAGATTTAAATGCTCTCCATGTCATTCTACTTTGATCCATTCTCTCTAAATGACCAAACCACCTCAACACCCCCTCTTCAGCCCTCTGACTAATACTTTTATTAACTCCACACCTTCTCCTAATTTCCACACTCCGAATTTTCTGCATAATATTTACACCACACATTGCCCTTAGACAGGACATCTCCACTGCCTCCAACCACTCCTCGCTGCTGCATTTACAACCCAAGCTTCACACCCATATAAGAGTGTTGGTGCTACTATACTTTCATACATTCCCTTCTTTGCCTCCATAGATAACGTTTTTTGACTCCACATATACCTCAATGCACCACTCACCTTTTTTCCCTCATCAATTCTATGATTAACCCTTTGACTGTCGCAGGCCCCTTTCTGAAACTCATTCTATGTTGCAAAATATTCAGAAAAAAACAAAATTTTCTTATGAAAATGTTAAGATTATTTTTCTGAGTGTTTTAGTCAAAAAAAAAAATTTTGCCATCAGTACTTACCAAGATATAGAGACGTGAAGTTTGCAGAAAATGAGCCGTGTATGGCAACAGCGGCGACTGCCGCTCACCTGGTAAACTATGGCTTACTTGTAATTGAAGGTTTGTTGTTTTTTTTTCACTTTTATTTTTTCACATAACTTATGTGGCCTGTGAGACCAAAGTAAAGTACAATATACATATATGTGCTTATTGTGTATACAACACAATAAGCACACAAACATAATTATCAATATATTGTTTACAAAACTTGTTTACAAAAACAAACAATACAAAATTTTTTTATTACTATTGTTCTATAATATATATACCAATGTACAGTCACCGAACATATTCCTAGAAGTTCTGCAGCTTGTGTAACTCTTTGAAACATGTTTTCATACACAATGGTGTTTTACACTTCTCACACATAAAACCAGTGTGTGTGCATTTTTGTGAACCTTTTTTTTTTATGTGCAAAGACAAAACACCTTGTCTGAGCAGTTTTCTTCAAAGTATTAGCAGGCAGTTGTGTTATGTAGTTATCCTAGGTAAATGGTCGTGTGTCATCATTCCTTCCTTCCTGCATTCGTTTCCTACCTTCCTTCCTACTTTCCTGCATTCGTTTCCTACCTTCCTTCCTACTTTCCTGCATTCCTTTCCTACCTTCCTGCATTCCTTTCCTACTTTCCTGCATTCCTTTCCTACCTTCCTGCATTCTTTTCCTGCCTTAATGCAATCCTTTCCTACCTACCTTCCTGCAATTCTTTCCTACCTACCTTTCTACCTTCCTGCATTCCTTCCCTACCTTCCTGCATTCCTTTCCTACCTACCTTCCTGCATTCCTTTCTTACCTTCCTTCCTACATTCCTTCATCTTTCCTTACTTTTTCCTTCCTTTCATCTTGTCCTTCCTTCATTCCTGCCTTGCATTCTTCCTTCCTTCTGGTTTCTATAATATATATACACATATATAGTCACTAGATACTTTCATATAACTGCTATTATCTTCATTCAGCAAGCTTGTCTTGTGTGCGAGTGTGTGGCTTATAATTGTTTTGAGTCAGGAGTCGGCAGCTGTCAAAATGACATATTATCTCATTACTCACTCCCCTACCGCCTGTCAAAACATGGGGTCAGATGCTGCTTCCCCTCCATTCTATCTAATTATCTTTCCTCATTGTATCTCTTTCAATCTGTCTCTCTCTTTCTATCTGTTTGTCTATCTCTGTCTCACAGGTACACATAAAACAAGTAGTATACATATTGTAAATTACCTAGGATAACCCAAAAAATCCAGACAAAGTGCCAAACTCAGCTTGAAGATGTTAGTAAACATGATGAAGACACAGTCTTGTGGCTCTCTCTGAGACAGAGAGCTAGATGGATAGACAGGGAGCTTGGCAGACAGACAAATAGACAGACAGAAATGTTTGTGTACCAGCAAAAACAAAGGGAGGCGGATGGTCATCTAATCTTTTCTTATCAGCTGCACCCTCCCCCACCCTCGTTTACGCTCATCAAATGTCAGCTCTTATCAGATGTTATCTCCTCTTATCTTGTCACTGTCATGGGGTTGACTTTTTTTTTCTTGCTTCAAGGGAACAATATTATTTCATCATCATCATCATCATCATCCTCATCCTCATCCTCATCATCATCATCTCATCATCATCTCATCATCATCATCTCCTCATCATCATCATCTCATCATCATCTCCTCATCATCTCCTCATCATCATATCATCATCATCATCATCATCATCCTCATCATCATCTCCTCATCATCATATCATCATCTCCTCATCATCATCTCCTCATCATCATATCATCATCATCTCCTCATCATCTCATCATCTCATCATCATCATCTCCTCATCATCCTCATCATCATCTCCTCATCTCTTATCATCTCATCATCACTCATCATCATCTCATCTCTCATCTCCTCATCATCTCCTCCTCTCCTCCTCCTCTCCTCCTCTCCTCCTCCTCCTCCTCCTCCTCCTCCCACCCCCCATATGCTTTGTCTCAAACTCCCCACTCAAATCATGAATTGATCTTCCTGACACTTCCATCTCTGTTTAGCATTCACTTGGAAGAGAAGAGTCCCAGATTGCTGGAGTCCACATTTTCTTACCGCTAAGCATGCCCGAAAAAGGGCCAACTAAATGGCTTTTCCCACAATGCAAACACTGGCTCCCAATTTTTTTTTAATGGTGCACACTGGACCATGGAGAACCTATTCTCTCACATGTTGGCCTAGACCACTTTCTCCTGCTTGATTTGAAGCGCTAGATTTATGGTATAAATAGTCAGAAACAGTGGCGCATAAGACGTAATACGCATAACATGTCCCAAAGGGCCTACCCTCATCCTTTCATAAATCCATCCGCCGAACGTCAACTCCCAAGTACGAAAACATTCACTTCTTCCATACTCTCCTCAATTGATATCCCAATTTTCTTTACTAAATCATTGAATACCCTCATCACCTTACTCTTTTCTATCCCCACTTTCAACTTTTTTACCTTTACACACATTCCAAACTCATCACTAAACCTTCGCAATTTTTTTCTCTTAAATCTCCCCATAAGCACAGTTTCCTTCAGCAAAAAGTAACTGTGTCAATTCCCATTTTGTATTTGATTCCCCATAATTTAATCCCCCCCCTCTCCTGAACACCCAGGCATTTACTTCTTTTACAACCCCATTATTTTTTTTTTTTTTTTTTATCACACTGGCCGATTCCCACCAAGGCAGGGGGGCCCGAAAAAGAAAAACTTTCACCATCATTCACTCCATCACTGTCTTGCCAGAAGGGTGCTTTACACTACAGTTTTTAAACTGCAAATTAACCCCCCCCCCCCCCCCCCCTTCGATGCAGGCACTGTACTTCCCATCTCCAGGACTCAAGCCCGGCCCTCCCGGTTTCCCTGCCCCTTCAAAATGTTATTTGTCTCACCCCAAACAGCACGCAATATTAAAAACCATTTGTCCCCTTCACCCTACAAACTGCCACGCAGCCTGCTGGAAGCCCACCCCCGCACACAAAACCCCCTTTTAAACCCCCCTCTCCCAAACCTTTTCCTAGGCCGCCCCCACCTCCCTTTCCTTCCACTACAACTGATACACTCTTAAGTCACTCTGTTTCGCTCCTTCCTCTACATGTCCGAAGCACCTCAACAACCCTTCCACCCCTTTTTGGACAACATTTTTGGTAATCCCCCACCCCTTCTAACCCCCCAAACACAAATTCTCTCTTTTTTCACACCCACTTCCCCTCAACATGACATCTCCACTCCCTCCAGCTTCTCCTCCTGCAACATTCATCCCCCACTTCACCCCAAAATTTAAGAGGTTTGGGAAAA